TTCGGGGAATACAATTTTTTTTGACGAAGTTTCTGAATTCCTGAATTTCAGAGCTTGAAAATCTCTGAATTTTTAGAATTCCAGAATTCGCAATCTGAGAATCTGAGAATTTCGAATCTTCAAAATCTGAGAATGCTAAAACTTCAAAATCTCAGAACTTCGGATTTTTCTCAATTTTCCAATTTTTCTCAATTTTCCTAAATTTTTGCGGTAATTTAAATTTTTCTCATTTTTCATAATTTTCTAGTTCATTGATTGAAGGAAACAATCACAATTTAGCAATTTACCAACGAAATTCGAAAATTCCAAAAATTAGCCAAAAATGAGCTATTTTGTTTCGAAAATCGTTCGAACAGGCAATGAAACATTACAAAAACTATAAAATTGATTTTTTTTCGATAAATTACCACGAAAATTTGAGCAAAAACGATGAAAAACAAAGGAAAACGGAGAAAAATGGGAATTGCGAAACGATCTCAATTTCGCGAAATTTTCCCATGGAAGAGAAAACCCCGCAGCTCGGCCACGGCCATGGACTGATGACGTCATCGCTCGCAAATTTTATTTTTGGGATTTTCTCCGTTTTCTTTTGTTTTTCATCATTTTCGCTCAAATTTTCGTGGTAATTGGTCGAAAAAAATTAATTTTATAATTTTTGTAATGTTTTATTGCCTGTTCGAACAAATTTCGAGAGAAAATAGCTCACTTTGTGCGAATTTTTGGGATTTTCGAATTTCGTTGGTAAATAGCTAAATTGTGATTGTTTCATTCAATCAATGATATAGAAAATTGTTTAAAAAGGAGAAAAATTTAAATTACCGCGAAAATTGAGAAAAATTGAGAAAAAGACAAAGGAATATTGAGAAACAAAGGGAATTGAAATAGAATTGAAAAAAAAAAAACAAGGAACCATGAAAAAAATAATGTTCTCGAAATTCCGTTCAAAGATGCCCCTCGAGGAGTTGAACTTGTGAGGGCGATGATTGAGGGTGCGGCACCGCTACCGACTGAGCCACGCGGGCAAAGAGAAAGCGCACGCCCGATTGCATACATGAAGGCGAGGACGACAGCTGTACGCAGAGTGACATTAAGCGTTGTACACCGTGACGGTAGAATGCATACTCTAGCTACAAAAATCCCCCGTAAAATCTCCTGTCCCCCCACCCCACCTTTAATGAGGATCTTTCTTAATAAGGGTTTTTTCTTAGTGAGAATCTTTCTCAGTGATAAACTTTTTAAATAAAGATCTTTCTTAATAAAAATTTTGCTCGATAAGGTTATTTAAGGAGAGTCTTTCTTAGTGAGAATCTTTCTTAACAAGGATGTTCCTTAATAAGGACTTTGCTCGATAAGAATCTTTCTTAATAAGGGTTTCTCTTAATAAGGGTCTTTCTCAATAAGCATTTTTCTTAATAAGGATTTTTTTAGTTAGAATCTTTCTTAATGGGAAACTTTCTTAAAAATCGATTCAGTTGGGGGGGGGGGGGGGGGTTTTTTGAGGAATCTTCCTTATATATATATAAAACGCTAGAGGCGTCTGTCCGTCTCTCTGTCAACTTTTTAAAAAGCTTGAAAAATTAATTATAAGATCTCGTGACTCTTTAAAAGTAATTGAGGAGCAGAGCCACAAATCAGTAAAAAACTAGATTGAATCGCGCCGAAGGCGCACCAGCTTGCTGGTTTACCATTAAATGACTGTCAAAATTTCAAAAAAAACCCGAGATTTTGAAAATTTAGAGAAAAAAGTGGGAACATATTTTTTGAAATTTTTGATCTACAATTTTTTTCAGAAAAAAAAACACTTTTTTGGGCGCCAAATTTTTCCCGATTTTTTGGTTTCTTGCTGCTTTTTCTCTATTTTTAAACTATTTCCTCCCATTTTTTGCCCTTTTATCCCAATTTTTCGATATTTTCAGACACAAAAATCTCCCCAAAAATCTGAAACATCGCTCTGGAAATCAAAATTCGAAAAGAATGAATTCAAAATTGATCAGATTCATGAATGTCAACAATTTGAATCCGAAAAGTGCAGTTTTTCAAGAACGAGTTGTGAGTTTTGAAATTTTATTTTTTTGAGGTCAAAACATTGAAAAATCAGGTCACGCAACAAACAATCTACGTCACGACCTAAAAAAATCAAGGTCACGGCCTGAAAAATCTAGGTCAAGACCAAAATTCTAGGTCACGACCTAAAAAATCTAGGTCATGATCTGAAAAATCTAGGTCATGACCTAAAAAAAATCTAGGTCATGACCCAAAAAAAATCAAGGTCACGGCCTGAAAAATCTAGGTCATGACCTAAAAAATCTAGGTCACGACCCAAAAAATTCTAGGTCACGACCTAAAAAATCTAGGTCATGATCTGAAAAATCTAGGTCATGACCTAAAAAAATCTAGGTCATGACCTAAAAAAAATCAAGGTCATGACCTTAAGTATCTAGGTCATGACCCAAAAAATTCTAGGTCATGACCTAAAAAAAATCAAGGTCATGACCTAAAAAAATCAAGGTCATGACCTTAAGTATCTAGGGTTTTTGATTTTTTTTTTTTCAAATTGTTTGAAATTTTCCATATTCAGCGTCAAAATCTAGCCAACGCATTCATCTCGACAACGATACTCTCTGCGATTCCAGGAATTATAATGGCTGTTCCAGTTGGATTGACTTTTGGAGGATTTTGTGCAATTTATGGAGCAAAAATTCCGAAAAAATTGGCTGAAAATCCAAAAATCGATGAGGATTCTGGAATTTCAGAGCATTCTGGAAATTCTGAGACGCCTTCTGAAGACGAGAAGGACAATAATGAATTTTTTGATTTTCAGAAAATTTCCCCGAAATTGAAAATTCTGGAAAATTCGAATAATTTGGGACCACAAATTTTAGAATATTTGGAGAAATCGCAGAAATTTGGAATTCTGATAACCCTTCGTGACGTGGCAACTCTTCTAGAATCACCAACGACTTCTGAAAATACAGTCAGAATTCAGTACAAGAAGCGGAAGATTAAAATTGTGAAAATTGAGAATTCTGGGATTTTGGAGATGTTCGAGAATTCTAGAAACTCTGATGGATCGCCGATTTTGATTTTGTTGGAAAAAGGAAATTCTGAAGATTTTAAAATTCAAAATTTGGCTGAAAATCGACAATTCGTTATGGAGATCAAGGAGATTTTTGAGAAAAATGGAGAGGAGAAAATTGTGGAAAAATCGGATTCTGAAATTTTGATTATCCGAAAAGGGGGCGTGGTTTGGGCGAATTCTGGATTCTAAATGTGTTTTGTTCGGTTTTAAATTTAAATTTTTTGAATTTTATATAAATTTGTATTTTTGCGAAGTTTGGGATTTTCGGAACTTTGGAAATTCTGAATTTCCAAAAACTTTGGAAATTCTGCACCATGGACACCATTTTCCAGCCCACCATGATCCTGCTCACCATGGGACCCATCATGGTACCCACGATCAGTCCCATGGAACCCATGGTGGGTACCATGATCCTGCTCACCATGGGACCCATCATGCTACCCACTATAAGTCCCATGGAACTCATAGACGCCATTGCCTAGCTTACTATGGGACCCATCATGGTACCCACGATCAGTCCCATGGAACCCATGGTGGGTACCATGATCCTGCTCACCATGGGACCCATCATGCTACCCACTATAAGTCCCATGGAACTCATGGACGCCATTGCCTAGCTTACTATGGGACCCATCATGGTACCCACGATCAGTCCCATGGAACCCATGGTGGGTACCATGATCCTGCTCACCATGGGACCCATCATGCTACCCACTATGAGTCCCATGGAACTCATGGTGGGTACCATGATCCTGCTCACCATGGGACCCATCATGCTACCCACTATGAGTCCCATGGAACTCATGGACACCATTCCCTAGCTTACTATGGGACCCATCATGGTACCCACCATCAGTCCCATGGAGCTCATGGACACCATTCTCCTGCTCACCATGGGACCCATCATGGTACCCACTATGAGTCCCATGGAACTCATGGACACCATCCCCTAGCTCACTATGGGACCCATCATGGTACCCACTATGAGTCCCATGGAACTCATGGACACCATTCTCCCGCCCATCACGGAGAACACCATGGACACCATGAGCACATGGATGGTCACCATGCCCCACACCATGAGCATGGTACCCACCATGAGTTTCATGGAACCCATGGTGGGTACTATGATCCTGCTCACCATGGGACCCATCATGGTACCCACTATCCCACTATGAGTCCCATGGAACTCATGGACATCATTCTCCAGCTCATCATGGAGAACACCATGGAAAACACCACGGACACCATGCCCCCAGATAAAAAATAATATGGTACCTAGGCTATGTGAAATTTTACCCAATATAATGGTACCCAATAAAATGGTACTGGATAAAATGATGCCCTTCAAAATAGCACCTAAACTCTGTTAGAATGGTACTCAATAAAATGGTACCTGAGCTAGGATAATCATCCGTTGAGGATGAGGGCATTTCTGAAAAGCTTTGAATTTTTGTTCGAAAAAATACAAAATTCATTCTAAAATCCACTAAAATCTTTACATAAAAATTTTACATTTAGAAAAAAATTACAAAATTCTTAATTTTCCAAAAAATACAAATGGTACAGGGACGCATTTATCAAAGCGTTGAGCAATGACTCCACTGGCCGCCTAATGCTTCTTATGGGCCTTCTTCGAGTGCTTCTTCGAATGCTTCTTATGGTGTCCATGATGGTGTCCATGAGCATTTTCCTTTTCATGGTGATGGGACTCATGGTGCCCATGGTGTCCATGCTCATGGTGGGGAGCGTGATGTCCGTGGGTTCCATGGGACTCATGGTGCCCATGAGCATGGTGTCCATGGCCTCCATGGTGATGACCTCCATGCTCGACGCTATGGTGTCCGTGGTGTGTCGAGGTGTGGTGATGGGCAGGGGCATGGTGTCCGGTATGGTGTCCATGGTTCGCTGAAATAATATTGGTCAGGTACCATTCAATCACAGAATATGGTACCTGGGGCATGGTGGTGTCCATGGTGTTCGGTATGGTGTCCATGGTGGGCTGAAAAAGTACCATTTTATCAAAGTAGCATTTTATCGGGTACCATTTTACCATAGTACCATTTTATATCTTACCTGGGGCATGATGTCCGTGGTGTTCTCCATGGTGACCATGGTGGGCTGGAGAATGATGGGCATGGTGTCCATGCTCGTGGTGAACTCCGTGATGTCCGTCACGGTGTCCATGGTGGGCTGGAGCGTGGTGTCCATGGGTTCCGTGAGACTCATGGTGGGTGTGGTGGGTCCCATGCTCATGGTGTGGGGCATGGTGTCCATGGTGCGCTGAAAAATATAGGTAAACATTGGAACAATTGAAAAGGGCATTCGGAACTATTTAATAACAAAATATGGTACCTGGGGCATGGTGGTGTTCCCCATGGTGCCCGTGGTGGGTCCCATGCTCATGGTGCGGAGCATGGTGTCCATGGTGTTCTCCATGATGGGCTGGAGAATGGTGGGCATGGTGTCCATGGGTTCCATGGGACTCGTGGTGGCCATGATGGGTACCGTGCTCATGGTGTGGGGCATGATGTCCCTCCTTGTGCTCGTGATGTCCATGGTGTTCTTCATTGTGGGTACCATGCTCATGGTGAGGGGCATGATGTCCACCCTTGTGTTCTTCATGGGCATGGTGTCCGTGGTGGGCTGGAGAATGATGGGCATGATGGGTGCCGTGCTCATGGTGTCCATGGTGTTCTCCATGATGGGCTGGAGAATGATGTCCATGGGTTCCATGGGACTCGTGGTAGCCATGATGGGTACCATGCTCATGGTGTGGGGCATGGTGACCATCCTTGTGCTCATGGTGTCCATGGTGTTCTCCATGGTGGGTACCATGCTCATGGTGTGGGGCATGATGGTGTTCGCCATGGGCATGCTGCTCATGATGTGGGGCATGGTGTCCTTCCTTGTGCTCATGATGTCCATGATGCTTCTTCTCGTCCTCGGACTCGGATGACGAGCTAGAAGAAGAGCTGGAACTGCTAGAAGAGCTGGAGCTGGAGCTAGATGAGCTGCTAGACGACGAGGCAGCCTTCTTGTGATGCTTCTTCTTCAGATGCTTCTTGGCGTGCTTCTTATGATGCTTCTTCTCATCCTCAGACTCGGAAGATGAGGAGCTGGAGGAGCTGGAAGAAGAGCTGGAGCTAGACGAGCTGGACGAGCTGGACGAGCTGGACGACTCGACCTTCTTGTGATGCTTCTTCTTCAGATGCTTCTTAGCGTGTTTCTTGTGATGATGCTTCTCGTCCTCGGACTCCGAAGAGCTGGAGGAGCTGCTAGACGAGCTGGAGGAGCTGGAGGAGCTGGAAGAGCTGGAAGAAGACGATTCGACCTTCTTGTGATGCTTCTTGTGCACCTTCTTCTTCTTCTCGTCTTCAGATTCCGAGGAAGAAGACGATGAGCTCGAGCTGGAGGAGCTGGAGCTGCTAGAGGAAGAGGAGGAGCTGGAAGAGGATTCAGCCTTCTTGTGATGCTTCTTGAGGTGTTTCTTGGTGTTCTTCTTATGGTGGTGCTTCTCATCCTCAGATTCCGAGCTAGAGGAGCTTGAAGATGAAGAGCTTGAGCTGCTGGAGCTGCTAGACGAGCTGGAAGAGCTGGATTCGACCTTTTTATGATGCTTCTTCAGATGCTTCTTGGCATGCTTCTTATGATGCTTCTCATCCTCGGATTCAGAAGAGCTGGAGGAGCTGGAGCTTGAGCTGCTAGAAGAGCTGGAGCTGCTTGAGCTAGAAGAGCTGGAATCTTTGGCGGCCACGTGATGATGGTGATGATGGACCTCGTGATGGCCTGGATGGCCATGATGATGGGTATGATGGCCATGATGAGGAGCGATGAATTGGAGGAATGCTAAAAATTGAGATTTCAGAGGTTTTGACAATCATTTTGGCGTTAAAACTAAGCGATTTACTTCAAAATGAACAGAGTTATGCTCCAAAATGCACGAGAATGCACAAAAATCATTTTGGAGCATTTTCGTTCATTTTTGGAGTTTTTTGGTTATTTTTGTATTATTTTCAAATGTTTAAAGCTAATTTTGGTAGTTTTAGTTGCCTAGAAATATTCTAAAAATGCCGAAAAAGATTCGAAAATGACCAAAAATGCAAAAAAAATCATTTTGGAGCATTTTCGCTCATTTTTGGAGTTTTTTGGTTATTTTTGTATTATTTTCAAATGTTTAAAGCTAATTTTGGTAGTTTTAGTTGCCTAGAAATATTCTAAAAATGCCAAAAAAGATTCGAAAATGACCAAAAATGCAAAAAAAAATCATTTTGGAGCATTTTCGCTCATTTTTGGCTCAAAATGCTCCAAATTTTCTCAAATAAGAAAGCTAAAAATTATTCAGAAACTTACATTTCAATGAAATATGTCCATCGTGAGCATGATGGTCGAAAACCTTCTGGAAATGGAGCTCTTTTGCCAAATGCTCTATATCATGAAGAGCCGAACGAGCCTCGTCACGGGTCAGCTTCTTTCCATGCGACGAGTGCTTCGAGAAGATTTTTTCTGAAATTTTGGAGTTGGTACAGTAATCCTGATGATGTTTTGAAATACAGTAATATTTTTTGAAAAAAAATTTTTTTTTTAAATTTTTTTCAGATTTTTTTTTTGGAAAAATCTGCTTGGCTACACTTTTTAGCATCTTTTTTTTATTGATAAGCAAAAATTGTGAGAATTGATAACCCGAAAAAAGTACAGATGTGTTTGTATAGTTGGCAAATAATTGGAAATTTTCCGGAATTTTTTTAATCACTGATAAGAAAAAAAATCTGAATTCTGATAAATGAGGTTTTTTAGAAATTCAGAAATTCAGAAATTCAGAAATTCAGAAATTCAGAAATTCAGAAATTCAGAAATTCAGAAATTTAGAAATTCAGAAATTCAGAAATTCAGAAATTCAGAAATTCAGAAATTCAGAAATTCAGAAATTCAGAAATTCAGAAATTCAGAAATTCAGAAATTCAGAAATTCAGAAATTCAGAAATTCCTTCAGCATTTTGAGATTTTTTTTTGTTGAAAAATCTAGGTCATGTACAGTAACCCCAAAACTCACTAATCTTCTGAAGAGACACGTGGTGGGTGTGGTGGTGGTGATGAACCGGCATAATTGGTCCTGAAACTTAAAGTTTTGAAAAAAAAGTTTTTGGATTTTCAAAGATGTGAGAATTTCAAGAAAAATGTATTTCCTTCCAGCCCTCCAGTTCACTTTTTATACAGCTTATCTCTCTAACAAGACTCCGCCCACTTTTCTGTCCTAGGCTCCGCCCACTTTTGTGAAAACCGAAAATCATGAGACAATTAAAAAATGATGTTTGACAAGGAAAAGCGTGACTATAACTTTTTTTTTGGCTGAAAATGTGATGTAATATTTTTACAGAGTTACAGAACAATGGGAAAAAATAGAGATATGATGAAAATTGACAGCTGTGTGGAATCAGAAAAATTGAAGAATGCAAAAAATTGAAAAATCCCAAAAATCAACATTTTCAGAGTCTTAAAGAATTTTAAGCGTTTCATTAGAATTCGCAGATCTTCTGAATTTTAGCTTTATGATACCGTAAAACCTGTAATAAAAGGGCATGCCCCACACTGTCAAGTTTGAGCTCAATTATCTCAGCTTCTATAAGAGATATCAAAAATGTGTCAACTGATAAAATGTATAAGATATTATGATAAACAATTTATCAATTGTTTATTTTTTATCTTTATCAGGAACCGCGATAAATTGGCTCAAAGTTGAAGGGGCCCTTCTAATACAGGTTTAACGGTATTTCAACTTTTATCTAGATTTTTACAATTTTCAAAATGCTAAATTTCAATTTTTTGGGAAACCTCGATTTTCTAAACTTTCCGAAATTTCTAGAATCTCCAGAATACTGAAATTTTGATGGTTTTTCTTGGAATTTCGAAACATCAGAATTACAGAAATCTTGAATTTCTGAAATTCTAAACTTCTGAATTGTTGGATTTTCGACTTCCCAAACATGGATTACTAAGTTTTCTGAATTTTTAGGAATTGGAAAATTTTTGAATTTCAGAATCTCAAATTTTCAAAACCCTTCTCGGCCAGTCTAGAATTTTTCAAAAGCAACAATTTTTAATTTCCAGAACTTTCTACAAAACTTCCAATTCCTTCTATTTCCTCCTCTTCTTCCCCCCAAACCACAAAAATTCCAAAAATGTGCCATCAGCAGTTTTTGTGTGTAATTGATTATTGCCCAACTTCTGATTTCTTATCAGTGTTTGCCAAAAATCAGTTTTTTACGATTGGCAAGAATACAAAGATGACCACGTGACAGTGGAAGACACACAAGGTTTTCCGGGAACTGGAAAAGGAAACTAACAATTTTTTCCAGAAAAAAAAATGTTAGAAAAATCGGCTCTTTATGATGAAGT